TCTCGTCCATCAGGACCCCCAGGTCCTTCTCTGCCGAGCTGCTCTCAAGGACCACTCCTCCCAGCCTGTTACGGGTGCCTGGGGTTCTTCCGGCCCAAATGCAAAACCTTGCACTTTGCTGTGTTGAACCTCATTAGGTTCACCCGAGCCCAGCCCTCCAGCCTGTCGAGGTCCCTCTGAATGGCATCCCTTCCTTCCACCGTATCAACCGCACCACTCAGCTTGGTGTCATCAGCAAACTTGCTGAGGGTGCACTCAATTCCCTCATCGATGTCATTAATAAAGATGTTAAAGAGCACCGGTCCCAAGACAGACCCTTGGGGGACACCACTTGTTACTGGCCTCCACCTGGACATGGAGCCATTGACCACCACCCTCTGTCTGCGGCCTTTCAACCAATTGCTTATCCATCGGGTCGTCCACCCATCAAATCCACTTCCCTCCAATTTGGAGATGAGGATGTGGTGGGGGACCATGTCAAAGGCCTTGCTCAGGTCCAGGTAAATGACATCGATCGCCTTCCCTTCGTCCACCAATGCCGTCACCCCATCATAGAAGGCCACAAGATTAGTCAGGCATGACCTTCCTTTGGTGAAGCCGTGCTGGCTGTCTCGGATCACATGCTCATTCTTTATGTGATCGAGCATGTTGTCCAGGAGGATCTGTTCCATGATCTTCCCAGGCACGGAGGTGAGACTCACCGGCCTGTAGTTCCCCGGGTCCTCCCTGCTCCCCTTCTTGTATATGGGAGTGATGTGACCCTTCCTCCAGTCATCTGGGACCTCACCTGACAGCCACGACTTCTCAAATATGATGGAGAGCGGCTCGGCAACCACCTCAGCTCCTTCAGGACCCTGGGATGCACGCCATCCGGCCCCATAGACTTGTATTCATGCAGTCTAAGGAGGCACTGTCACTTTGTGTTGCTTGACCAGTGGAATTTAGACTGCACCTAGCAGAGGTTATTTTGTGACTTACTGAAAGAGCAACACTTGAATCTGAAACTTACTGCCACTGCTCAGCATATGACATTTCCCTTTGGAATCTGGCTCCAGGAAATCTTTAATGTGAGAAACATATGCCATATAGGTGCTTGTTCATTTGTTTGTTTTTAGTTACTGAAAAAGAGGCAGATACAGTCTAGCAGAAGAACTGCTCAATCCTTTTATATAGGATGCTACAGATATCCAACTGCTTTATCTACCTGCATGCTGAAGTTTCTGTACTGAGCTCAATTAGCACCTACTATTTGCTTGGCCTTTGCAGCCATCAAACTCTACCAAGCGAGTTTGTTCTTTGTGCTGTCATGCGAGTTTATTCAGTGCATTCATTGGACCTTTTATTTCTTTTTGTTAGCCATTTCTGTAGCTCCCTTCTGGGTGTGTGCTGTTCCATGAAATTGCCAGAGGAAGAGACTCAGTGTTTGTTCAAGCTGACATGATGGTAGTACTGTCACCAGCATAATACAGGTTTCTTGTTTTCCGTTTGCTTGTAGAATTAGAGGAAGGACTCTGAGACATTTTCTAACCCTCCCACAGCTTCAAAGCAGAATCTATGATGTGACTGGCTTAGTTCTGTTTTGTTTTCTATCTGGATTGTAAACTTCATGGTTGGATCGATTTTTATCTTTGGGATAGAAAATACAGATGGTAATTCTAATAGTGGATATGTATTCAAGCCATAAATTGTAATGTGACCTGCATTCCATTGATCTTCCCCACAATACTCTGCCTTCCTTGCCCAGATGTAGAAATGAGGAGATGGCCACAGACTAAGCTGCATGCATCTTTTGTAACAGTCAGGATTAGAGTTTGTACTGTGTTCCCTGAGCTCCTTAGTATTGATGCAAATAATTTAGTCAAATCTATGAACAAAGGATTTTACTCAATTTAAATCAAAAGTATTATTTGTATGGGACGTTTATTGCTATGTACCATTTATCTAGAGCTTACTAGCTGCCCAGTTTCAGCTCACTGTTGGCTGCATGGCTTGAGTGGTGGAGCTTCCCTAGTACTGAGCAAAGCTGGATGCACTGACAGCTCCCATCAGCTGAGTACTTGTAAAGATGGGAACAAACCAGACTGATGGCAGTGCTAAAATCTTCAGCACAACAATGGTTAACAATAGCAGTTAACCAACTAACAGTCCGTTGTTTTGATTACAGCCATTAATCTGATGCAGTCTTCGTTGCAGCGACATCGCAGTCATTATTTTAAGGCTGTTTGCAAGCTCAAGTTATGTCATTACAAATTGTTTTCATTTCCTGTCTGTGAAGATTTTCCTTGTGTCTGTGAGAGTCAGAAATGTGTTTCTGAAGAGATCTCAGATGTTTCAGTTGAATATTGCAGCAGAGAGTGAACGCTGCTTCGAATTCTGCTTCTCTGTTATCCTGGAATATGCAGAACCTTGTTCAAAGGTTGCACAACAACTGCAGTCTGAATGTGTTTTTTCTTTTTTCTGTTGAGAAACATACGATAAAAGGGCTGTGAGCTACCTAGACCTCAGTGTTGCTTAATAGCTTGTGGGAGCTAGCTTCTTGCCAATTTTAGAGCATCGGTCTATCTGACTTAACCACATGTAGACTTACTGGCAGGTCTACTCAAATCAGTGGTGCAATTATTTACTTCTTAAAGAGAAAACAGGCATGCAGTATAATGACCTTACAATAACTTTCAGTTTTATGTGGAGAAAAAATAAACAGTTGTCATTTCCTTGTTATTTTGAGGTTTAAGCCTTTACCACAAAGGTTTTAAATATTTACTAACTACTGTGTTCTCTGAAATTTCTCTATTTAAAAACACAATGAATTTATTCAGGGAAGTCTTTCTATTGCACCAAGCTTCACAGTCTTTATTAGAGAATGTTATAAATAAATGTCTTTTCACTTTTTTTTTTTTTTTTTTTGTATTACTTGACTCTTAACTCAAAGCATTTATTACTTTACAGTATTCTGCTGCCAGCTTTGCTTTTGTTTTTTATTAAGTAGTTTAAAATGCAAATGTTGGGTTTTTGTGATACAGCCACATTCATAGAGAAAATGTATTTGGGGCATTGTAAGTTTCACTGAACATTTTTGGTATCGTGTCCCAGAATTAGCTTCACATCAGGATTGTGCTGATGTTGAGGCAAATAAATGTTTACTTTTTTTTATGTTACATTTTTATGTTACATTTTAATCTGGTCCAAAGAGGAGAAAGTATTATCATTTAACCAGATCATAATTGCTCCATGTTAATTCCTATCTTACCTGACATGAGAGGTTAATAATTTCATTGCTGCTTTTACAAGATTTTGCTGGTTTTTAACAGCTACTCTGAGATCATGAGTACTCAAGAGGCAGCAAAAAGTTATGAAGCAGCAATTTTGCTATTACTAGGGAAGGAAGCAATTCCAGGACACTAGTATGGCACTAATGCTCTGGTGGAACTGGCCATAGGAATTATTAACTTTGGATGTGTATTTGCAAAGCTGGAATTGCATCGTTTCAATTTCCAGTTTCTTCTAGGTGTGTGACCACTGAAACTAGTGATACTTGGGCTTTGTCTTGGGAACTCCCAGTATGTCAACCTGTTTTATTTCAACTAGGAGTGGAAAGCTAAAACATCAATCTCTCTTTTTTCCTCACTGAACAGGAAGCTGTGCAAACGTTTGGTTTGGAAACACTGGAATTTTTGTTTTAGTGGGAAATCTTGAAATGCATCTTTTCAGTGTTCCCAAACCGCACTGAACTATTTCATTCTGGTTTGGCCTTACCCTTTGTTATCCCAAATTGCTACAGTTCTCTGTGGTATTCCTAGCCCTAGCATGTCATCTTGCTACTGTTACTCTGAAGGCTTTCTGGAGAAAATGCATCTCCATGATGCATTGCAACAGTTAGATCAGATGAGAGACTACAAAGCTTAGAATGAGAACCTGGATGCAGCCATTTCAGTAAGATCTGGCAGAGAAAATGTCACTGGACGCTGGTTGGAGCTTAATGCCCAAAGAAACTCTTGAGTGCTCCCAAATGTCTTGTGTGGTGAGCTAAGTGTCATAGGGATTGTGATTCGTACCTGCAGCAGATGAGCAATGCTCAGTGTGTTATGCTGGCTCTGCTGTCATGGTGATGACACAAGAAGGCAGTAGTCTTAGCTAGAAACATGGTGGGGAAAGAAGGGCAGAAACCTGATAACATCTTAAATCACTTCAGTGACATTTTTTCCTGCTATGTGTTGTCTTCTAGAAGCATATGTCATTAAACATAGCACTTCTCCCCATAGAGAAAGAGCAAACATAACTCAGGGGAATGTATGTATTTTCAAAATCCTTCCTAAAAATTTACAAGGGGAATTGCCAAACGTATCTGAAATAACTTAAAATTTATTTATACTGCTTAATGTCTTTTTAGTCCTGATAATCACCATATTGTTGTCTCCTGAAGTGACAGATGCCAAAGTGTGTAACAACAGAAGCTGATATGGAAAAAGGTAGCGTAGTCCTCTTTGTGGTGTTCTAAAGCACCAGAGAGATGCAGCTGTTGTTCATAAGTGGGCTTTTAATGGGTAATGCTACCTCCTTTGGTATGGGAAGGAGAGCAGAAAGGGAAAGCAAACACTTCCTCCTTTGCTTTGGTCATGATAAATTCTCAGTTTGTGTTCCAAGATGTGTGAAATGAAAGTCATGCACATGCAGCTCTCCCTGTGTTCAAGCATCTGAGCACAGATCAAGAAGTATACGTGCATGTGCAGCCTACTAAACTGGGAATTGTGGAGTGGGTGGTTGTTTTGGTCTTGGTAATAGAAAATGTGGGTCATCTTGGGTGGGGAAAGTGGCTATATTTTTATGCGGAGCCCAATACTAACAAGTAAATATTTACCTTGGAGCAATAATGTCATGTTACCATGCTATTTCATTGTAGGATTAAGTAAAAGGTAAATGTTTGCTTTTTAGTTTCTGCCCTTGGAGCTTTTAAAATAATATGCTTTAAAATCCCTATTTGTATATTAAAAAAGCAGTTGTCTCTTTTTACAGAGAAAAGACAACAAAGACAACAGCAATTCAAGCTTCTTTTAATGTTCTACTATGGTGCAGTAGTCCATCCTGGGAAGGTAGCCTCAAATTCTCTCCTTGTTTGTGTTTATTATATCCTCAGTCTTTCTGCCCCAATTGCTGCCAGCTGGAACAAGTTTTGGTGTAGGTTTTCTGATAGGGACATCAGTTCAACTGGGAGTGGATATGTACCTCAAAAGTCTTATCACTCAGCGGTGACTTATGGTCATTATTGCCTTCCCTGATTTCTGCTATTATCTTATAGGTGAATTCTAACTCAGTCTTTCTGCTTGTTCTGTAGATTCTAGCCTGCCTTTTTAGTTGCCTAGATTATAATGAACACCTGAACCAAGTTTGTCTTAAACAAAATCGAATTTGATACCTTGTAGACTTCCTGTATATATAAAAATGGGATGAGTTTTGGGTGTGCCAGTCACAATTACGGAAGATACTCTAAGTATATTACCTTATTAGACATACTTTTTTCCTAACCATAAAAGACAGTGAATGGTCAGTCGTTCTGCAGCTATTGCTAGTGATTTGCCATGCCTTTTGACAGAAGTAGAAATTTATTTTAGGTGACTTAATCATGGACTCTTGGTAGGAGAGAGAATAACAATAGAGCATGGTCTATGACCTTGTCTTGTCAGTGCTGATAAACCAGACTATACATTCAGATTTAAAACAAATGAAAGTTTCTGTCAGTAATCCTGGGGGTGATTTCTACAACTTCCTTGACAGGAGTATTGAGACAAGAGAGCTTCTAAAAACTTCCTTGGAACAATACTAAAAGATAAAGCTATCTGCAGCTGAGCTAACTGTAATGAGAGCAGATACCAGCACTGCAAGGGCAGCAAATGGGGAGATCTGCAGCAAGAACAACAACATTCACAGCAAAAGCAATGGCAGGAGGATGTTACTATGTGCACGAGCATATGGTAACCAGCAGCAAATTATGAATAGACTTTGTGTGCTGAGCTAGTCAGGAATTGTTATATTTGTGTACAGTGTTTATTTGCTAAGCTTTATGGTCAACTTCATTACTCTTCATTTTATTCATTATTATGTCACTGAGCAGCAACTTGTTACAAGATTAAAAGTTCCAATTGGTTGCTCATGCCTACGGTATGTAAATGCCTTACAGCTCTGGCAGTAATTTACTGACATTCTGGCAATTTGTGCTTAAATAGCTTATGCACACACATACATATGCACACTAGCATTGTATACGTGTGTGATTTTTTATTTATTTATTTTTTTAGAAACTCAGTGTCAGGCATTTTGTGCAACTAGGTATGACTAGAGACCTGATCCTGCAATCCTGATGGACACGAAAATGCTTTTTATCTCTTTGGGAGTGACCAGTTTTTTTTTTTTTTAAAAAAAAGTGCCTTTAGCAGAAATCCAAAGAGAAATGTGCTGATTAAAAAGTAAAAGCAAAGAGGCAAAATTTAATGATAGTTGAAATCTAGGGTGCAGCAGGTAGTGCAGAGTTTCTATGACAATCAGAATTTTCTCAACTAGTTTCTCAAACAAGTTTGTGTTTATTACAGAGATGCACAAATACGCATATGCACACTCAAGTTAAGCATTGGTCTCTGCATGCGCTTATATAGGTATATTTAGGCATATAGTTTTAAATCAAATCTTACCCTTCTCACTTTCAACACATGCTTCTTATTTGCATGCAGTTTTACAAATAGTTGCTTGTAACAAAGTTGGGTTTTGATAGTGGGCTGCTGTATCCTCAAATAATCTAGTGACACAGTTTTGTACCTCCATCTTGAACAAACTCTTTGAGTAATCACTCTCCTCCTGGTTTTCTCAACCAGGCCTGCAAAATGGTGCTATTCTACATGAATTGGGGTAGCATAAGGCTGACATCAGAGGGCAGCCCTTTCTTAATAAGTTCAATTAGAGATTGCTTCATAAAAGCAGATTTTAGAAACCTAGGAAGTGAGCTTCTGCAATTTACCTATCTTCATACATGCTCCAGGTATTGGTCTCTATCAAGGAAAAATAAAAACACTTTGTCACATAAAACTTGACAGAAGTCATATATTTTAAGAATTTATAGAGATAATAGAAGTGAAGACATATCTTTGCAAAAATAAGAAATATCTTCTTTCAAAACTTTGAGACCTTCACAGCAGTGGAAGTAAAAAGTGAAATATATTTGTATCACTTTTCATATCATCGTGCATGGCAGTGTTTGTCTACAAATATGGGATAAGGTCTTATCACATACATCCTATAATGGAAGAAGTAGGTGAATGTTACAAACTTTCTGTCAAACTCTATGGAGAAAAGAAAATGTTTGAAGACTTTAGAAGCAATAGCCCACATTCTTGCATAGATAAAACCTAGGTTATGCAGATGTTGAGAGGGTATGGTACCAGTTATGGTGTTGTTTGAATAGTCTACACTGCCCAAATTGATTTCCAAATCATCAAATGGACAGTAACTCTCAATTTCTTTTAGGAATTCTTAACAAATAGTAATTGAATAAAGATTTCTGTAAACAAATATTTTTTTGAAAATGAATGAGAGCAAAAGCACTTGTCTTTGGTTAAGTAAAAAGCATACTTGAAAAAGATTTTTATTTAAAGAATTAGCAAAATTTTAACTAGGAAAGGAAATACACGTTTACTGGGATGGACAGTATCTATTATTTGACCAAGTTTTTCGACCAATCTGATTAAGGAATATTACTTTTCTCTCCAGCACACTAAGATGTCACAGTAGAGACACATCTTAGTCAAGGTGAAAGGCTTTATGAGAACAAAGTAGTTCATTTTGTTTCACCTTACCACATTTTTTATTTCTGCCTTTGTTTCAGCTTTCTGTGAGCCAAAACTTGTAGTATGCTTAAGTATGTTTTACAGACCATAGTACTTCTTAGTGATCTATTACATTTGCCAAAGTTGGGCTAAGTTTCAACTAGATTTGTTGATAAGCCTAAAAATAAATGGGCATTTGCTTATCAAGTAAATATAGCAGCTTGTGAATTTTTTTTACTGGTTTGCTTTTTCTTTTTTTTCCTTCAAGTTTAGAAGTTTGGATGCTTTTCTTCTTCTTCAGTTCTGCATAATAATGGGATGGAAAAGACAACATTATAACATTATCAAATGTCTTTTTTTGGTCTACAGAGGCAGAAAAGATGATTAGTCTCCCTGGGACACAAATCCTGTCTCTCTGATAAACTCAGGGACTACTCCACATAAGCTGATAGTGACTGGCAGAGGAAAAGCCTTTCCAGGTTAAATGAGAACCAAGCACCTTCTTTTTTGCTGGAATGTGAAGTAACTATGGAAATCCTAAAGTCAGTTGTGAAAATGCCTGGGATTTTTGTGAAACCAGGATAACGCCTTCAGGGATTCTGTGGCCAGAAATGGTTCTGCACTGGTCAGTGGAATACCCTGAGAAGTCTCAGGAGTATTCTGCATATGTATTTTTTGTTTATCTTTGAGCAGAATATTTCATAAAAAGCTAAACCAGAAATTTCTCTGCCATTCAGTACCATGTAGAATAACATAAAGCATTATGACCCAGAGACTTCTCAGAACTGAGGATCCAACTGAGGATCCAAATTTTAAGTAAAAGTTTGCGATCAGCTACATTTGTTTTAAAAGGGCTATGAAGGAATGTCTGTGGGCAGATAAGTTGCTGTCTTTCTTTGTTATCGCTCTCTATTGTTGGTAGCTGCACAAGCTCCTGCCTTTCTTTCCTCTCGTTCTACTCTTTCCCACTTCCCTCTGCCATGTCATTCCAACTTCATACACACTTTTTCTTTCTTACATAGAGATACCCTGGCTTTTAGTTTTCTAACTTTAAATTGATTAGAATTAATTTTTAAATAAGTGTCACATATCTTTAACCAAGCACTAAAAGGTTGAGAATGCTTTATGGTGCAAAGTCTGATCCAAAACTCAGTGAGAAGAATTTTAAAAATATGGGCTGCCCTTCATTAGCCCTGATGATATCTCTTGACAGGCAATGTGTGCTCACGCTGCCATGCCAGGCCAGGGCAGGACCAGCTGCCATGCACCATTTACCCTCTGTCAGCAGCTTCAGTCAGAGCCTGGGCAATACTGTACACACGAGTCTGTCATGCGTCAGCATCAATTAGGCTCAGTTTGCTGCGCTTGGGAAAAGCAACAGCCCTACTATTAACCATTTTTCTTCTTTCCTCTCCCCTCAGACCCATTTGACACTCGAAGCAAACTGTTTGATTTGGCAAGAGTGCTTTTGCAGCAGCTCTGGCAGATAGTTATTGCAGTTTGTTTTAAAATAACTCATTAATTCAGGTGAGTTGGTTTCACAGCAAGAAATCTGATTTGTTGGTACACTGTGTATAGGGGGAAGTTAGATACAGCCCTGCTCTTACAACCATTTTAATTTTGACTTTCAGTTGTTGTGCATAATTGTTGATGTCTGTTTGTCTGAATCCCCATGTAGAGGGACTTACATATACCATATAATGCACCCGCAGATTATAATAGCAAGCTTTAAACTTGCCACAGGACAAGGGGGCTAAAATATTTCATGAAAACCATGTCTTCCAACAGCTTTGTTGAGTGTACTCAATATGTTTTGGATTTTTCAGTTGTAGACATGCCTCTGCATTGTTATTTTTCTGGGCATTGTTGTTTGAAAAGCAGGACTAAAATTTCCCCAGCTTCATGAGAAACCAGCCTGTGTGGTCATGCCTAAATTGGACTCACTATTCTGTGGCTTTTCTCCACTATTATGAGGGGGAGGGGAGCAAGGCGACCACCCATGGTGTGTTCTCGTCAAGCGGTGCGGTGAGCAAGTGAGCTTGCTGATGTGCCATGGGTGTCAAGAGAACAACTTCTTCTGGCAGAGTTTTCAAGCACTTCCCTCCTTCTCCCCTCCCCAAATTACAGCTTCTTCCTCTGTATAAGTATAGAACACCCATGACTATTTATATAATACAAGAGCTACTGTGTACTTTAATGGATGGTTAAAGACATTTTCACAGGTCTGCATCCCCATGGGATTTATGGAGACTGATAGGCCTGGTCAGTTTGTAAAATCGTGATAGCCCAAGAGACTGTTGTCAGATGTTGGTAACAAGACAGTGTTTGAAAGGAATCAAAACAATATAAATCCTGTGAGATCTGTGGCAGCAGGATGGGTTCTAATGGAGAGGAAGACAGGGTCGACCACCACACAAGAGAACAAGGAGAAGAAAGTGTTTTTTCTCTTTCAAGCTTGCAGCACCAGCAGGGGTAAGCAGGTTTCTAAAAAGAATCTCATCTGCGGATCAATCCAGTGTAACAGATGGAGTGCACAGATATTGTTTATCAGATTTCCATCGCATGTGGCAAGCAAATACATTGTTGCAACTGTTAGCAGCAAAACTTTTCCTTTTTTAACATCATAATTACCAAGAGTTGAAAAGAATTGTGGGTTAATGACTTCTGAACAATAACTATAGGGGGGGCTGCTGGATAGCACCTTCCCCGAGGAATACATTAGCAGGAGTGACAAAGTCATTGAGCATATTGAATGGAAGGTTTTGGATCCATAGAAATTACTGCCTATTGCAGTGCATTTTGAAAAGTGGAAATGTGATAAGTTATCATAGCTTTTCTTATGGTTTTCAGCATTTTTGCATTTTCCTGTTTTTTTTTTTGTTTTTTTTTTGCAATGTTCTCTAAGCATATTGTGTTCAGTCAGCACATGAGCCATCTCAAACAAAAATGGCACTCTGAATCAGTTCTTATTCAAAGCCTCCCAACCCAGTATATTTCTTCTTTTTATTCTCCTGTTTTATTTTAAGCACTTAAAACAAAACTCCAAAATAGCGTTTTGAACCTGTAAAGACTCATTGATCCCCATCATCTTTAAAAGATGATACGCAGCTGGTAACTGGTCCATATTCACCAATCACTCAGTGATTCTTGCTGTGAGCATCATGACGCAGCCCTTGAAGTAGCAATAGGAGAAGTGCAGGGAGCATTTTGCACCCTAAAGTTCATGTCTCTAAGCACAAAGCTAAATAAAGCACCCCAGTGCTTTTGATAGTGTCGGCTCTTTGGCTTGGCTTTGAGTGCTTCTGATTCAGGCCCCAGCATGTCCACTTGCCTGCTAAGTGCAATGTCATGACAGCTTCTGTTTATGCAAATACTGCTAAAGAACCATATCTAAGCCACAGATAAGCACACAGCAAATGTAAAGGAATGCTGCACAGATCCATTCTGAATAAAGTATTCTTTAATAATATTGACAGGATTTTAGAGAGTTGTGATTGTTCAGAAACTGCCTTTATGGAAACATGAAAATTTGTGATGAGTGACTTCCACTAGGAATCTAGTCTGTCTACCTGACAGAGCAAAAATTCC